CAGTGTTGTCGGCAGGAGGAACCGCGTGTGGGCGCGTGGACACCGTGGTAGAAAGGACTTCGTCGTGGTGGCTGGTGACCGGCGTCTTCTCTGCGGTGGAGAAAGCTTGTCTGTGAAATGTGTGGGGGTGAGGGTGAGATGGGGGCGGAGGGGCGCAGAGGGGCGGGAGAGAAGACAGAGTCGCTTGGAAGAGGGGCGAGTGGGGCCTTCCAGCACCGCTAACGGGCTGGGCACTGGGGGAGCCTGGGGGCCCGAAACACCAGCGGAAGGCCCGCGTCCTGGCGCCGGGAGGCGGGTGGCACTCCCTACACCCAGGGGCTTCGGGGGCTGGGAAGCAAATCGGGCAGCTTCCCAGCTCATGCTGCCTTCACATGGCTCTGTTTGCTCTTGGATGCCTCCAGTGACGGGAGGCTCACTAATTCTAGAGGCAGCCCATTCCTCGCCTGCTGAAAACCCTTCAGTGGGCCACTGCAGTGCCTGTGACACAAAGTCTGCTTCTTTTCCAAGACCACCAGGTCCTCCGTGATTGACCCTGGCTGCCTCCGAGCTCACCCACACCTGCCCCTTGGCCCTTCACTCTCCCCTTGCCGGCCCCAGTGGCCCCCTCTACTGTCCCCAGACACAGCGGTGCCCCCTCCCGGACCTAGGCTTTTGCACATGCTGGTACCTGTCCCTGGACGGTCCTCCTCCTCCTCCCCACCCTCCTCCTCCAGTTAACTCTTCCTCTTTCGTCAGGTTCCAGCGAGCGTGTCACCTGCCAGCCTAGGCTAGATGCCCCTGCACACACTCTGTAGCGCTCATCACTCCCTAAATTCGTGGCTCATCTAAGATTGCATCGCCCGCCTGAGTCCGGCCTCCACGGGGACGGTGAGCTGCCTCCTGGCTTCAGCGCCGCCCGCCGAGGGCCGGGTGCTCCGCGAGGCCCGGGCCGGGACGCTGAACGGAGCCTCGCGTGGGCTCCTCCCCACTGGACGCCTGCTTGGGTCAGCACCCCCGCCCCCTGCCACCAGCCGTGGGTGCCGCCAGCACTGCCATTTCACAGAGAAGGGGACTGAGGGCGGCGGCCCAGGCTGCGGGGTCACGGGGGGCAGCTGAGCCAGGAGAGGAGGCAGACACGGTGCTCTCGGGGACACACAGGACATCAGAGGGGAAGGAGACAGACATGGAGAGACCTCGCAAACTCAGGGTGGTTCTGAGGCAGAGCGGGGCCTCCCGGGGGGAGGGTGGGGAGGGGATCCACGGGCCGGGTCCTCACACTTAACCACACCGGTCCCAACTCGCTGATGGGGACGCGGGGGACAGGACGGGAAGGTGATGGAGCTGGAGGGGACCAGGTCCGTCCAAGTCCCCAGATGCTGCTTTCAAGGTCCTCAGGGCTCACAAGACGGGTGTTGGGCCCAGCCCAGCGGGCTCCGGGCACCAGGTAGGGGTCCCGGTGGGCACGGCCCGGCCCGGGGTTCCCTCCAGCTGGGGGTCTGACATCCTCTGGGATGCGCTGGGCTCGCTGGGACACCGTCACTCCCGTCTCCTGCTCTGCAGCTCCCTTACCGGGTCTTACATGGTTTCCTGTATCGGGGTCTTTTGGAGACTCCAGGTGTCCCAGGAGGGCTGGGGACCCGCTCTGCACCAAGGGCTCCTGGAAGCTGTTCTGGTTTAGGGAACAACCGCGCCAGCCCCCTGGTCACAGTTCATGGCCACCCCCGTGCCAGCTTCCGAATCTAGGTCTCTCCCTACCGCCCCCCTGGCTTGGCCCAGTCGCCCTCGAGCTCAAACCGGTTTGAGCGCCCCCCCTTCCTCTGCACTGGGCTCTCGATCCTCATTTTCTAGGTGGGCTCGGGCTCTGGTGGTGAAAGCAGCGTATCTCGGAAGTTTTATCAGGGGCTCATTCTGGCTTGAAGCTTTCATTAACGTAGTTAACTTCCAATACATTGCACAAATGTTTCTTCATGTGTGGCTTCTAACTGGTCTGCTACCCAGATGGTTTTGAAATTAAGGAAGCTGCTATATTTGCCTTGAGCCGGTTATTTTAAATTTGGAGATTAGAGCCCCGGTCAGGAGATAAGCAAAACAGCTGCCCCCCCCTCCAGCGACCTGTCCCCGGCAAGAGGAAGTTTCTGATGACAACGTACTTCATTTTGAACAACTAATTCAATAACCGATCTTTATTCACATTTGATTTTCGGATGAGCGTGTTTAAGTTCATTCTCTTCCCGGTTTCTATTCCGGGTTTGCAAACGGAGTCCCACACCAACAACTCATTTATTACAGAATGGCCCGTGACTCTGCTCTAGTTAATCTGCCTCGAGATGGTAACTTGCCATCACAAAGTATATGGCTCGAGATAAAAGCAGGACTGAAATTAGAAAAAAGAAATACAAATGAGGGGGGAAATAAAAAAATGAAGCCAGTTTTTTTTTTTTTTCATTTTTTTCCCCCCTCAAGCATAAACTTGTTGAGTAAGGAGATTTTTAAAAGCCAGAAATTGCTGTGGTGCGAAGCAAAGCTGGAGGCTGGTAAACTGGCATGAGACCCGGGTTTGCAGGAAGATCTGCCGTGGCGGGGAGCTAACCACTACCCGCAGCTGTGCTCCCATCGTCCCCCCAGGACGCTTTCAGAGACAAGAGGGAGGGAGAAACCCGCGTTCAAATTAGAAGCCACCTAAGCTGTGTTGTTTCTCTTGGGCTGCCACTGTGCCTTTGAATTCCTGATTGCTCAGAGCGAGAACAAAATTCATCTGACCTGGTGATTTTGACAGATTCATTTGAAAAGCTACCAGCGGTCCATCTGGCCCTACCAAGGGTTCTCGGACAGGGGCTCCGTTGCTCCCCGCTCACCCCTCGACTGGGGGACATGGGTGGTGTCTGGAGACCTTTGTGGTGGTCATAACTGGGAAGATGTTGCTGCCGGCATCTGGGAGGGGAAGGGCCGGGGATGCTGCTA